CCATGTAGGGGCACTTGGTTCAGTCAGTTAAAGGCAGACTGTTGATCTCTGCTCAGGTCATGATCCCAGGGTTCATGAGTTGAGGTCCCATGTGGGGCTCTGCGCTGACAGAGCCTCTCCCTCCTCTCTCTGGGTGTGCACATGCTAGCTCTCTTTCTAAATAGATAAATAAACAAACAAACTTAAAAAAAAAAAAAAAAAAAAACACCTCATACTGCAATTAAGAGAGGTCCATATAATTACAACATATATTTCCCCTTCCAGAACCTCCATCTGTTGCCACCATCAGTGGTTTCAGTCAACAACTGCTCCTAGGAGTGAATGAGCAGGTCTCAGGAGAGGGCTCCTGCTCACCATTTGAGTGCCTCACTTCGTGGGAAGAGCAAAGTTTCTGCTGTCTCTCACATATTTGTTTGGGAAACTCTCTTACTTGCCTTCAGGAGTGGACCTGAACAGCACAATGGTAAGCCCTGTAACAAGAACCTGGAGTGATGTAAATGTTCCACGTGTGAAAGGATTCCAGTTGAAAGCACCAATGGAGCCTCTGAAACAGAGCATCTGAAACGGAGCATCTCACCCATACACTCTAAGGGACACACAACTGAAGAACTAGAAGGCTGCCCCCGTAAATCCCCTATTTACAGAAGACCGAAACTTCTCTTCCAGCCAAGGAATATCTGCAAAGAATCTATCCCCACCCCACCCCACCCCCCACCCCCCTTAAGCCAATAAACTCACTGCTTGGACTCTGGCTGGACTCCCTGCTCTCTGGGCTCCTCCCAGATAAATGCAGCCTCCCCAGGCGCTCAGACTTTGCAAAAGGTTCCTACCTTTTGCCTTCCCTGTGCAATTCTTCTGCTATTCCTGAATAAACTAAATTTCTGGTATTTGCACTTTCCTCCATTTACCTCCTTTTTTTTTTTTTTTTTTGTTCCACAGATGCTATCATAGATCTAGTTAGCCCATGGTTTTATATTTTAAAAAAAAAATTTTTTTTTCAATGTTTATTTATTTTTGGAACAGAGAGAGACAGAGCATGAACGGGGGATGGGCAGAGAGAGAGGGAGACACAGAATCAGAAACAGGCTCCAGGCTCCGAGCCATCAGCCCAGAGCCTGACGCGGGGCTCGAACTCACGGACCGCAAGATCGTGACCTGGCTGAAGTGGGACCCTTAACCGACTGCGCCACCCAGGCGCCCCTATATTTTTTTTAATTAATGCTCAGATCCAGTGGGAATTCATCTTTGTATATCATGAAAAATGAAAAACTAAACCTTTCTTTTCACAACAGACACAAAATTTCTCCATTTTAAACCAAGCAAACTTCTACATCACCTGAAGTTGTGTCATCTGCCCTGTTTCACTGATATGTTTTTATTTTCTTATACCAAAAAACATAGTTTTAACTACTATACCTTTTTTTTTTTTTTTTTTCCTACCGTGTGTACTTTACCTTTATACTTAAATCCTTTCACTCTGGTCAACTAATCCTGACTTTATTAGCCTGTGAAAAACCTCACAGGATTACTCTTAATCTTGCATGTGCAAAATAGTTGTGAGCCTAATTACAGAATTATATCCAAACTCCATAATATCTAAACCATAATATAAGTGTCAAATATGGAATGAAGAAGCTGGGGAATATGGAAATGCATATATATATATATATGCATATATATATATATATATGCAACTAATAGCCTTTTTTTTTTTTTTTTTTGAAGTGACATAATTCCATTTCAGGAGATTGAAGAAATGAGAAGCTAGGAGCAAGACAGTGTCCCCTCTGGCTTGAAATTCAGTATATTGCTTTGAGTCCACAAAGTTAATCAACATTTCTTTTTAAATTAACCCTGAAATACTCTTCTAAATTATAGTATCTCCCGATTCTACCTAAGGCAGCAAATGTTCTCCCATCTCCCTCTCTGTTTACCCTTAACATCTAACATTCTAATCACGGAGGACTCCTTCTTACCTTATCATCATGACCTTATAAAAGAAATAAAACAATCCAGAATATTGGCTTTTTTGCTTACTCTATTCATATTCATACAGTCAATGCAGTAAATAGAAAATAAGATTAACATTAGACAAGAAAGAAAATCATAATGATAGCAATTGGAGAGAGAAGACATGCATTTCATTAGTGGAAAGTAAGAGATAAAGTATTTTTAACACACTCGTACCATGGGCTTTCTGTATTAGGTTTCTTAGCAATAATCTACTTGAAAAGACCTTTTTCAAATACAGATTATTAAAAACATATATTGTGGAATTGAGTGAAGTATCTTGGAAATATCTTTTAAAATGAATAATAGCAGAAAGTGAAAAGGTCAAGCATTCATGTGTTTAGCCAGCACATCTTTATTAAGTACTGGTTATGCAGCCAACAATTTCATCAAAAATGTGACCATTCAGCTGAACGTTTGTTAGGTTCCTTGGGCTTAAACAGTACTCTCTCTTATCCTGTTCAGCAGAATGACAATATGTTCTTGGTAAATTCGATACTTAGGTAGTCTGACTAGGCAAGGTTAAAAAATGGTTGGCAAAAATCAGCAATCAGCACTTCATCATTAGATTAGCAACAGCGGCCAAGGTCCTCAAATATATATGCTAATGAACAAGCAATAATATTAGGTTTTATCATAATTCTAAGGCTAAAGTTGGCTATTGGCCCAAATCTTACCCAAAGCATTACTCAGGTATGAATGCTGAATGAGGATCTCACCCTTCTCTGCTGACCTTAAATTTGGTCAAGTTCTTGCACGTGGTGATGGGGAGGAGAAAATCTAATGAAATAAAATTAAGGCCTCCTGACATTGGAGATTTAAGCCAATCTCCAATGAGATTGAGTCCAAAGCCAGGATAAACTGAGTCCAAATCCAGGATGTTGCCCATAATTGAAAAGATTAATTTGCTGTTTGATGATCTCTGTAAGAAAAGCTTTATGCTGTCACTGCCTTTACTTCCTCACTGTGCAAGTCCTTCTCACTTCAGATAGGTCTTTCTACTAACCCATATCACTGTTGTCTTTAAAACAGTAACAAAACTGCCCTTTTCTAGAAATTTTTGCTTACCTAATTGGTGTTATTCTAGTCTTTTCTTTATTCTCCGTGCACTCAACATTTATAGTCATTATATGTTTTAACAGGTTTATTTTCATACTGTTCAATGTTCAGACCTGTTAATGTATATTCTTTATTTATCACATTGAGCGTGAATCCTTAAAAAAATATACCCATGATTTAATTTTTTTGCTTTTTTAATTTTTTTTAATGTTTATTTTTGAGAGAGAGACAGAGATAGAACGTGAGCAGGGGAGGGGCAGAGAGAGAGAGGGAGACATAGAATCTGAAGCAGGCTCCAGGCTCTGACCTGTCAGCACACACAGCTCAATGCGGGGCTCAAACCCACCAACCGCGAGATCATGACCTGAGCCCAAGCCAGATGTTTAACCGACTGAGCCACCCAGGCTCCCCCTACATTTTTTTTTCCTATTATTTCAGTATTCCTGTGGCTGTGCTCCTATCATAACAGCACCAGTGCATGCTTTTGCTTCTAAACTTATAAGAAGCTACTGAAGAGAATACTAACAGCAAAACTAGGCAGAGAAATTGCAAGGAGGAGAATGCTAAAGAGAAAGTCAAATACAATTGAGGCTTGACACTCAGAATTGGTCATTCTAATAAACTCATTCTATTTTCAGTCACTGATTTTCACTAATTTGTTTTAATTTTGAGAATTCTAGTACTCAACGGCATGGATAGAGTAGAAGGTATTAAGGCTTTACATCAAGGAACTGGAAGAAAGATAAGCGAATCTATCAAATAAGAGTACTTTAATCCTAAAATTGCGACAAATATAGAAGAAAAATATTTTTGCAATGAAAGAGCCATGTTCTTATCAAGATGATTTTAAAAATCTATCTACATATAGTATTATCATATAAATTAAAGCTTATAGAAAATGTAAACTTACCTGGAAAAAAGTAAATAAAAGTTTCAATATAAAACATGATTATGAAATAAAGGTCATTATTGATTTTTATGTCTTGGTGCCTAATTAAAATTTTGTTAGTTTAGTCTTCTTCATTCATTATTTGCATCCAATTCTTCAAAATTATATTATAATTTCCATAAAATAGGAACAATGTTAAACTGTTTTTGCACCTCAAAGTAAATTCTTTAGTTTGTGTTTCATGAAGGAAATAAAACCACTAGGAAAATCAATGCCAATTATTCTCCATAATTATCTTATTTCAGGATACCTCATTCAAAACATCTGGCTATCAAAATATTTAACACTGACTGAGAGTCTACTACAGGCCAAGAATTTTACATATAACATTTCAGGTAAGCCTCACAATGACTCAACAAGGTCAATATATCATCATATTTTAACAGATGTTCAGCATGTTTGACACACTTTGACAGAGTTTCAAAGAAGTTAAGTAGTGTGCCCAAGTTCACATATTTTGAGAAGCAGGGATTTGAGCCCAATTTGGCTTAATTCTCAAGTTTATGTTCTTCATAATTTACTGTATCATTGTCTGCCATAGTTGGGTGCCTTTAGAAATGAGTCACATATAGAACCTACCCTGTAGGGCATCCAATACACATACCCTGAATTACCAAGTACCCTTCTAAAAGAAACGCAATATTGTTCCTCTGTCAGTACTTATTATCAAAATAATAATACATATTTTACTTGCAGTAGGTATGTAAGATTCCAAATCATCTTCCTTTGATTATTTCTTTCTGCGTTGAAGAGCATTTTAAAGTTGTTTCTTTCCATTTTCTGCCGGCACAAGATGGTCAGATAAATTTGTTTAACTTTGAAATTTCAAATTAAAACAATCTTTTCTGAGCAACATTGAAGAAGTTAGTATCAAATGATAGTTGAAACAGAATTTCCCTTTTAAAGACCAGAAATATATACAAAATAAACACAGATATTTGCACTGTATAAAGTGATTACACTCGGGGCCCCCCCCCCCCCGCCCCAGCTTTTAACAAACTCTGAGAAATCAAGGCAATGCTTCTGGGACCGCTGATCAACATCCTATCTTTCAGGACTGAAGGAACCGGAGATGCATTTCTCTTGGGCACGTGTGTTCTATCAATTTCCATTTTCAATCATTAAAACCTACAATTTCCATTTCAGGCTGGACTGCATGAGAAAGAGATGGCTGCTTATAGTCTATTCACTCTAGTAAAAAAAAAAAAAAAAAAAAAAACGAAACATATTCAAGTTTCGGTTTCCTGACAATGCCCTGTGCCCCCACCCCACATGCACACACACAAAACACCTCCTTAAATACATTTCCATGGCTCAATTCAATGATGTACTAGCCATTTGACTATGATGAAAGCTGTATTCTTGTCAGTACAGAATCTGAATGAACCCCACTTCTAAATTAGTTCTTTTTTTTTTTTTTTTTTTTTACTTTTTAAGTAAATCTAACTCGAACTAGAGAAACATCGTGTTGTAGAAAGATGAGCTTCAACATTAGCATCAAGAGGTCTGGATTTGAGTTTTGTATTGATTTGGTGAGTTACTTAAATTCTGAACATCCTTACTATCTTTACCTATGATATTGAAATGATAATATCTTTAGATATGGGAGGTTATGCTAACTTACGTAAGAATGCTTGGAATACATTGGCTCTTTAAAGTTAATTATCCAGTTTCACTTAAAAAAAATCAAAACTGTAATAAAATAAAGAATATTACAGTATAGTGTTCCCAGGCCCATTTAAATGAGGCATCATGAAAATCAAGTTTCTAACACAAAAAATTACACTAACTAGCCAGTCAAACTGAGATAGATAATTTTTTCATTGAAGTATCTATTTGTTCTGTTTACTATTATAATTCCAATTACTAATTACTAACATAATTCTCAAGTTATGTTTGATATTCTTTGCATGGTGACTGTCTCCAATAACATTTTCAAACTCTTCAGAAAATAATGCTGTGGTTTGTGGATTATCAATGTGGATGCTTGTGGATTATCAAAATTTGGATAATCTCATTCTGTATTTATAAACTCAAGGGGCTTCCCCTTAAGAAAACAATTTATACTTGCCAAATAAACACTAGCATTATGCTGACTGTATCACTGTCAGATAAGAAGCAAACACACTGGTGAAGAAAAAACACAGAATTCTAGATACCTTTTTTCTTACTCAGACAAACTTAATCAGGGCTTGCAATTAATTTTTGAAATTGTTCTGAACCGATCTAAATGTTCAAACCTTCATTTCTTCCTCTGGACCCCATCAGTAAAACCCACACGGCATTCATGTTAGCAAAACAGCTTGCTTTTTAAATGTGATGTCTTGTAGTTCTTACTCACAATCCTAATAATATCATTGATTTCAGGAAACTTTCAGTAAGAGTGATATGAATGCTATCAAAAGCAGAAGCTGTGATTCATTTTTTTCTTCTTCTTTTTCTTTTTCTACCTGGACAATTAAGATTAGTCCTAACAATGTGACTGTAGAGGCCTCTGGGTAATTAGAAGTTTCCTGAGGTTAAATGTGTAATACAGCAAAGATACTATCTTCTCTTAAAATTCTACCCACACGCTAAAATACTTACATAAGACACAAATGGTTAAATAAAAGTGCTGGGAGCAGTCACCCATCATAACATAGAGGTAACTAGATTTTTTTTTTTCCAGATTCAAAAAACAAGCATCACATAAAATTTTATCTGATTGATTTTTTTTTTCCTGTAATTTAAGATGGCCAAAAGAACTATTCTGTCTACTAAGGCCAAAATAAAACTAAGGCATATGACCTTTTTACTAATTTACTAAAGGTGTGTCTTTAACACACTAAGGAAGTAAACAATGTTCTGGAAAAATAGGATGAAACAGAGATGAAGAAGATAAGAGACATTTTTGAGAAATCAGATTTTTCAATATCCAAAGCAATGACAGAAAAAGGTAAGATGAGATTACACACTTTGATTTTCAGAGAAAGAGGTCATGACATAATAAGGATTGTCATTCTAAATTAGATCTATTTATTTGCATTCTGAAAGAAGGTGTGGAACAAAACATTAGTTTCCCAAAGACTATTTATCACTCAGTGATACAGTATGTGAAGGAACTGACCAGAATGTTAGTATGTTAAATGTTCACCACCCACACTCGGGGAAAAAATATCTATCTGGAACCCATATCGGACACCATTGCCTAATTTAAAAATATTCCTGGACCTCTTATTGATCAATATCTCTTATAGAAAGGATGAGAGTGTAGCATCTGAACTGAAACAGTATTATTAGAAAATGATATCGTGAGCATTAGGATGTATAATTCATGTTGCTTTCATTTGCTCAGACCATTGTAAAAATCCATAAATCATTTTCTTCTTCATGTATTGCTTAAGTGCAATTTGTCATTTTGCATTAGAGGGCTGCTTCAGCTCATCAGTGCTTTTAATTCACTGTTTAGAGTTTAACAAAATGCTGGCCCTGACTGATAACTGAAAAGACACTGAAATGTGAAGCCGTACCAATATTAACGAGGTTAAACAAAATGGAGAAGAACATTTCTACTTTGAATATCAAGTAATGCTTTAATGGAATATCTAGTATTCCCAGTCCCCAAAATATGTATTAGTTTGTTCTCTGTTGAGTTGAGAGCATTACAACACAGTAACTAAGGAGTTACCTAAATGCGTACAATATGCTATCAATCTTTTCTAGAAACTTAGTCAACATTGTCTCTATAACTAGATGAACAAAAATATCAGCGTCCCTGGCTTTGGCTCCAAAACTTTCCACCTCTAAAGTTAGGTTGCACTTCCACAAATAAACCTATTTCATAGCCATAAGAGATGCAACGCAGTCCAGGTCCTTTGTGATTGCTCTCTGCACTCTCCTTGCTGCGAATGGCAAATGCCAGGAACCATCTACCTCAATCCTGGCCAGGTCTGGTGTTTGAAAGACTTCTTATTGACAATTTAAATTTTTTTTCTTTCATTTCTTTAAAAAAAAAATCTTCTCTCAAAGCTCTGGGCACACTGCAATAATAAGAGGATTTAGAAACAAATTGCTTTCAAGTCAAGTTAAATCACTGCAAACACTCATTTATCCAACCGCTGGTTAACAAACTTGTTTCCCTCCCGCTTTTTCCACAAAAGGGTAAGAAAGAAAGCAACCCTGTTACCTAGTTTCAAAGTTTCTAACTATGTATATAAAAAGCATTTGTGGGATCCTTTGCACCCCCCAATTTCTGCTGCACTTAGAGGCCAATGAAACACACGAATGTGCATTATCACTCTCATACACCAACCAGGACTTTTATGAAAATTGATTTTGATACACCTCTCGAAATAATAATTACTGCTTTCCCACTCTGATTTAGGATGCAATTTGTTTTAGCCCAGACGGTTGGCTCCCCTGGAGAAGGTGTTGGAGGTAGGGGTAGGGAGGTGCTCCATAGGTATCACTGCTCCCTTCCGGGTCCAGTAATGGGGGAAGGGGGATAGAGGGATGCGGTTTATTACACGATGTTCCGCACTTCAAAGAGGTCGTGAACCCCACCACCGAGGCTCTTATTTACTTAATCATGGCTTCACTAAATTCTGGGGTCCACCGAAGGACACGTAAAAGAAAAAGGAATTAAGAGGCATTTTTAAAAGGCTGTTGTTTTGTGGGTGACGGGGTGGGGCTGTTTTATGGTTCCAGGATAAAGAAGCGGAAAAGGCTATTAATGCCAGTATCTGAATCTTGTTCGGAACAAAATGCTCTGGCAGTTGTCTTTGGCTGGAGCTACCTAGAAGGAAGACAAGGCCGGGCTCGGGTCTGTTCCCCCTAGCAGAAGACCCCGCTGTCACCCTGAGTGTCCAGGGGAGCCTTAGAGACTAGAAGTTCGAGAGGCGAGACCTCTAGAGGGCCCGGGCCGGCGTCGCTTGCGCGGACACAGGCCTCTGTGACCCAAGAAATGCTGCAGAGCCCCCAACAGGCGAACCCTGCGGAATGGGAGCTCCAAAGCAAAATTCTCTGGCTTGCCCTATGCTGCTTTCGCCGCTAGGAGACGCCTGTAACCCACGTTTGCGAGAGAGTTCCCGGCTCAAACACAACAGCTCCAAAAAAAAAAAGAAAGAAAGAAAAAAAAAAGCAGCTCAAGTGTTACAGTGGATGTAGTGATTATTTACAGGCAAATCTGGCCATCTCTCCACGTTCTCATCTCCACCTCTGGAAGCTCTTTGGCTCTCAGAGAACGCCTCAAGTCCGCCCAAACTTCATCTACGTTTTGAAAACACAAACCCTCTTCCCCAAACAGTTTCAGATCTGCATTGTCATTCAGCCACATGTCTCTCACACGCAAACACGCGTGCACACGCGCGCGCACACACAAGTGTTTCCATATGTATAAATGAAAACATTAGAAAATTACCGTCATTTTAAAAAATGCTCCAGGATTCTGATGAGTCAGCTAGAAGAGCTCAAAATATTTCATTTCAGTCCTGCAGATCTAAAGAAAAAGGGGGGAAGGGTGGAAAGTACAGATGCAATGCCGTTATTAATATTCAGATATACTATAATCTCCTTTTCATTGATCCACAGGTCGTTTTTATAAACTGCCATTCCATTCTCAGCAGTAGACGTGATGCTAAAATCATTTTAACTGCAGCGGTTTTCTCTTGGCTATGGCCAGTAGTCAATTTACTGCAGCTGAAAAAGGATTAGCCATTTTTGCTGGCATCCTTTCCTCCCAACCGCTCAAAGGCACGACCCATCTCCATGAAAGAGCCCGGGGCGGAGGGGGGTGGTGGCGGATGGGGGGGGGTCAGGGCAGTAGACACGCACTCTCGGGACTCACAGAGGCATGCCTCCGTCTGCAATCACGCCCGTGGACACTTGCTCTGCTTAATTCCCTATCACGAAGAGATGAAAACGTACCTCGGGCTTGGGGAAATGGTCCGCCTTTTCTCGAAGGTTGTGTTGGTGTTACCCTCGGGTCATTCATTACCAGGAAGCCGCGAGGGATCGTCCCATATTGTGGCATAAGAAGACTAAACTGGGGCAGCTTTAGTGAATAAACAACCCCCGTACAGCCCATTAATTAGTATAAAAGCATGCTTTAAAAAATCTTTTTTCTCGGAGAATGGACATTCATTCCACTCTCTAACAAGAGTTCGCGCTGTATTTTAACTTCACAAGAAGTGGATGCATGCATGCTCTGCTTTGCCCCCGCGCCACGGCAGTGGGCCCTCAGAGTTCGTCAAGCGCATCCTTCGAGATCCGGGTGGGGGGTTCGGGACTCCGCTGGGGCTTTCACAGACCTGTGCTCGGGCATGGGGGAGGATGGATGCGAGCGCCGTCAGTGTGCGAGCGCCTTCGCTGATAACCGCAGGGGCACAGACTCGGGCCCCGCATGTGCTCAGCCCCTGCCCGCCTACCCACCCCCACCCCTGCGCATGTTCTCAGCAGCCCCGCCGTTTTCACCTAGCGGTCTTGCCCCAAACTGGGCAAGAATCGCTGCCCGGGTCTATAATGGGGGCGGGGAAGGGGATCTCCAAATGTCACAAAAAGCAGAAAATAGCCCGTGCGCGCCGCTGCAGCGAAGCACTTGGCAGGGCGAGGCGCAGGGATATCCGAGGCGCCTTACAGCGCCCAGCGGCGCTCGGTTGCCAGCGAGTCGGGCGTTAGGCTGGCGTGCTTGCAGGTAGTGCTCAAATGGAATTCCTCAGTCATTGATCAAAGCGCTCGTAGCCCTAACTAGGTCCCCAGGGGAGATAATCTGTTTGGTAAGAATGTTACGGATATACACTGAAGAAGGGCAGAGGCACGTCTAACGCGTCTGCACATCTACAGTAGCTGCCAGCCCACATCTCCCGGCGTGAATTCCTCGGCTTTTCAGGACCCACCTCCGCCCCACGCCCCAACTGCCTCACTCCGCTGCATCCAGCCCCGATAGACCCTCCCGCTTAGTTTGACACAACCCATGTTATATCCCTTTTTTAAAATCGTACAGGCAGTCTCGGCCAGAGCCCCTTCGTTAGGTAACCCCTGTCAGTTAGCGGCCCCTCTGCAACTTTTCCCCTTCTCGGTGATTTATTTCCACTATCGGTAGTAAAGGAAAACACCTTAAAGGAAAAAGAATGTTAGCGTCATTGGAAACCCCGCTCCTGGGAGAGGATACCGCTGCTGTTGCTATTATGTTTTCGCATTTGCTGATGCAAACAGGGGAACCTCTCTATTCCCTCTCCATTACCTGCGGCTGGGGACTGGGAACTTTCCGCGGCAGAGTCCCCAGCCAGCGCCTCGGGACCTGCCGGGCTGTTCTCACTCTCACACTCACACTCACCCCGGCAGCCCGCCCGAACGCGGGTTCCATCCCGCCCCTCCCGGCTGCCGAGTGACGCTCATGATTGACAGCCAGATCTGCCAGTCAGCGGTGGCTCGGTGGGTGGTGCTCCTCAGCGATTGGTTGGCAGAATGAGGGCGCTGCGCAAAAACAGAAAAGCGGAGCGCTCGGAGCTCAGAAACTGCCAGCCGAGATCACAGTCTCTAGGACTGAAGCAGGAGGAGGGAAAGACTGGAAGGAAGAGAGACAGGTTAGAGGGAAAGAGGCTTGGGAAGAAAACAGCAGGAAAGAAGCCGCTCATCACACTTCTAGAGAGGCAAATGATGCTGGAGATGAGGACAGAGAAAGACAAAACTATGAGAGCCAAAAAATACAAATAAAACGAAAGAGGAGAAAATGCCAAGAAGAACATCCATCCGGAGAAATGAAGAGAATGAAAGTTTTATGCTGCAGAGCCGTTCTATGTTTTTCCGGCAAAAAATTCTCTTGCTGTTTTTAAGCCCTTTTGCATTTGCCAGCCGTTGACATTGAGGCATGTTCAGCGGTGCCAGCAGCGTCTCCTCTTCCTTCTCCTCTTCCTCTTCATCTTCCTCCTCCTCATCTTCCTCCACCATCACCATCACCACCACCGCCACCACCACCACCTCCTCCTCCTCCTCCTCCCCCTCCTTCTTTTCCTCCTCCTCCTTCTCCTCCCATCAGCAAGAAGACAAACCGAGGACAGTCTTGAAATATCGAAATTTCCTCCTTGGGATTTGCCAGCGCCGCGTTGCGCCAAGACTGTCGGAATAAAGGACGCTGACTATTGTATTATTATTTTATTAATTGGTCAGTGGGAAGATTACCGATGAGGAAAGGGGACGCCTGTCACCCTTCCTGCGCTAAGATTGAAAAATGAGGCTGAGTTGGGGGAAGCCCTAAAATGAAGCAAGAGGAATAAGATTTTTCAGGACAGAAAGCCACAGGAGCCCCACACACAGCGCACTTTTATTTGTTTTTTGGGTTTTTTTTTTAAGATTTTTTTTTTTTTTCTGTGGTGGTGGGGGAGGTGATTGGGTGGCTGACTGGCTGCGGGAAGCTGCTTCCTTTCCCTTTGGAGATGATTGTGCTATTATTCTTTGCCTTGCTCTGGATGGTGGAAGGAGTCTTTTCCCAGCTTCACTACACAGTGCAGGAGGAGCAGGAACATGGCACTTTCGTGGGGAATATCGCTGAAGATCTGGGCTTGGACATTACAAAACTTTCAGCTCGCAGGTTTCAAACGGTGCCCAACTCGCGGACCCCTTACTTGGACCTCAACCTGGAGACCGGGGTGCTGTACGTGAACGAGAAGATCGACCGCGAGCAAATCTGCAAGCAGAGCCCGTCCTGCGTCCTGCACCTGGAGGTCTTCCTGGAGAACCCCCTCGAGCTCTTCCGTGTGGAGATCGAAGTGCTGGACATCAATGACAACCCCCCCTCCTTCCCGGAGCCGGACCTGACTGTGGAGATCTCTGAGAGCGCCACGCCGGGCACCCGCTTCCCGCTGGAGAGCGCATTCGACCCAGACGTGGGCACCAACTCCTTGCGCGACTACGAGATCACCCCCAACAGCTACTTCTCCCTGGACGTGCAGACCCAGGGGGATGGCAACCGATTCGCCGAGCTGGTGCTGGAGAAGCCGCTGGACCGAGAGCAGCAAGCGGTGCACCGCTACGTGCTGACCGCGGTGGACGGGGGAGGAGGGGGAGGAGGAGGAGAAGGAGGGGGAGGCGGCGGGGGAGGGGGCCTGCCCCCCCAACAGCAGCGCACCGGCACTGCCCTACTCACCATCCGAGTGCTGGACTCCAACGACAACGTCCCCGCCTTCGACCAACCCGTCTACACTGTGTCTCTACCAGAGAACTCGCCGCCGGGCACGCTCGTAATCCAGCTCAACGCCACAGACCCAGATGAGGGCCAGAATGGCGAAGTCGTGTATTCCTTCAGCAGCCACATTTCGCCCCGGGCGCGGGAGCTCTTTGGACTCTCCCCGCGCACTGGCCGGCTGGAGGTGAGCGGAGAGCTAGACTATGAAGAGAGCCCGGTGTACCAAGTGTACGTACAAGCCAAGGACCTGGGCCCCAACGCGGTGCCCGCGCACTGCAAGGTGCTTGTGCGAGTACTGGATGCTAACGACAACGCTCCGGAGATCAGCTTCAGCACGGTGAAGGAGGCGGTGAGCGAGGGCGCGGCGCCCGGGACCGTGGTGGCCCTGTTCAGCGTGACCGACCGCGACTCCGAGGAGAATGGGCAGGTGCAGTGCGAGCTGCTGGGGGATGTGCCGTTCCGCCTCAAGTCTTCCTTCAAGAACTACTATACGATCGTGACCGAAGCCCCCCTGGACCGAGAGGCCGGGGACTCCTACACCCTGACCGTTGTGGCTCGGGACCGGGGCGAGCCGGCGCTCTCCACCAGTAAGTCGATCCAGGTGCAAGTGTCAGATGTGAACGACAACGCACCGCGGTTTAGCCAGCCGGTCTACGACGTGTATGTGACCGAGAACAACGTGCCCGGCGCCTATATCTACGCGGTAAGCGCCACAGACCGCGACGAGGGCGCCAACGCCCAGCTAGCCTACTCTATCCTCGAGTGCCAGATCCAGGGCATGAGCGTCTTCACTTACGTGTCCATCAACTCTGAGAACGGCTACTTGTACGCCCTGCGCTCCTTCGATTACGAGCAGCTCAAGGACTTCAGCTTCCAGGTGGAAGCTCGGGACGCCGGCAGCCCCCAGGCTCTGGCCGGTAACGCCACCGTCAACATCCTCATCGTGGACCAGAACGACAACGCCCCTGCCATCGTGGCGCCCCTGCCTGGGCGCAACGGGACTCCAGCGCGGGAGGTGCTGCCCCGGTCGGCGGAGCCAGGCTACCTGCTGACCCGCGTGGCCGCAGTGGACGCAGACGACGGCGAGAACGCCCGGCTCACCTACAGCATTGTGCGGGGCAACGAAATGAACCTCTTCCGCATGGACTGGCGCACCGGGGAACTCCGCACCGCGCGCCGGGTGCCGGCCAAGCGCGACCCCCAGCGGCCTTACGAGCTGGTGATCGAGGTGCGCGACCACGGGCAGCCGCCCCTGTCCTCCACTGCCACACTGGTGGTGCAGCTGGTGGATGGAGCCGTGGAGCCCCAGGGAGGGGGCGGGGGCGGTAGCGGGGGGTCAGGGGAGCATCAGCGCCCCAGCCGCTCCGGCGGCGCGGAGACCTCGCTGGACCTCACCCTCATCCTCATCATTGCGCTGGGCTCGGTGTCTTTCATATTCCTGCTAGCCATGATCGTGCTTGCCGTGCGTTGCCAAAAAGAGAAGAAGCTGAACATCTACACCTGTCTGGCCAGTGACTGCTGCCTCTGCTGCTGCTGCTGTGGCGGTGGGGGCTCGACCTGCTGCGGCCGCCAAGCCCGGGCGCGCAAGAAAAAACTCAGCAAGTCGGACATCATGCTTGTGCAAAGCTCCAACGTACCCAGTAACCCGGCCCAAGTGCCGGTGGAGGAGTCCGGGGGCTTTGGCTCCCACCACCACAACCAGAATTACTGCTACCAGGTCTGCCTGACCCCTGAGTCCGCCAAGACCGACCTGATGTTCCTTAAGCCCTGCAGCCCATCGCGGAGTACGGACACTGAGCACAACCCCTGCGGGGCCATCGTCACCGGCTACACAGACCAGCAGCCCGACATCATCTCCAACGGAAGCATTTTGTCCAACGAGGTAAGGCTGAAGCGAAAGGACCACCATCTCTCATCTCCTCCATCTGAAAGCCTCCTCTAGCCCGGCCCTTGTATCTCTGGTGCACTCTGTATTTATATTTAGGATATTAACTTCTTTGTATCTTTGTGGGGGCAGGAATTGGGCGGGGGAGGCTATCCCACCCCTTCGTATGTAACCTAAACTTCGTGTTGTCCCTAATTTTCTGCGCTCCACCCCTCCACATTTACTTTCATTTCCTCCCCT